CTTTCGTTTGACTATGTTGGCAGGTCTTAATAAGGGCATCCACCTAGCTGCTCTGCAACCATAACCCAATCTGTGGAGAATCCGTTGAACAGATTTCGGGCTCATCCCACCAACTTTGGCCACTTCTGCAGTCGTTAATCTGGGATCCATTTCGATGCTCCTCTTGACAGTCCTTTTTGTCCTCTCCAATGGACCTGAATGCTGCTCAGTTGTTTCCTTGCCGTGTTTCCTGAACTGCACGATGATTCTGTTGACTGTCGAAAGCGGGATTCCCAAATTCTGCTAAATTTTCCGCTGACTTATTCCACCATCTGCTTGACCAACTATCCTTCCTCTAACAAAATCTGACAATTCGAGAGAACCTTGAGTTATGGGCATGTTGTAGCACAAGATAATTAGTGTGTGGACCATTTTCATTTATATAGTGCTCTGTGAACACAAATTAGTTAGCATAAATCAGTTAAATGACGAAAAATTATGTGTCTATTTACTTGTGACCACTCTGTGTATATAAATTAGCTAATGATACCCGTTAGGGAAACAAAAACTGTATAAAGGACAATGTTAGATAATGTTCCCTTTCCTTCTTTTGTTATTAAATCCCTAATGAACTCATTACAATTGCAAACCCTGCTTTGTGTAAAGTAATATTTCACTCATTAAATTATTAAGTACTTGTGCCTTCAAACTCAAAGACAAAAGTTTACCAAAAATATGGAAATGTGTCCTATTTCATTAATTTTTTATCTCCATTTTTGGACAGAAATCCCAAAACAAATTAGTTCATGTACATCGGGGAACAATTTCAAGTTACCATACTAAAATTTACAGTAATTGAGACAGCCAACTGTGGGTGGTGAATGCTAACACATACATAATGGATCATCTTCCTATTAAGATTTGCTCGGATTATAGAGTTTCTTATTTTGTGAGTTATCTTAATTTTTGATCCTACATAATTTCTAAGTATTACGCACTTGAACTATATTAAATTCTCAATGGTCCACGAACCTTGTATAAAGCTCCTGTTTTAATATGTTGTATAACAAGAATATGGCTGCATTACCTGTGTGTTTTATATTATCATGAGCTGACCAAAGTTGGCAGATATGAGTCGCTCAGGAATAATAAATATTTTTGCTATTATCACATATGAATGGTCACTTGTGCATTTATATTTATATCGCATCCCTTGACTTGCACCCATAGATGTATAAAACATACTTAGAATGTGTAAAAACAGCCTCAAGTATCGTCAAAGTGCACAATTTTCAGAGAAAATTGTGAAAAGGTTTCATGCCACCCGGACTTCCCTACATGTCTTCGCCAATTATTTCCTTTTGTCTCCAAAAGTAGTACCTCTGTATGTAGCCGAGTATGAAGCAGTAATTAAGACTGATGGTAAAGATATAATCTTTCACTCTTACTAAATAAAATTAAAGAACGACTTAAGCCCAGGTTATACCATAAGCTTGCATTTTAAAGCAAGAGAGCTTTATCATGCTTTAGAAAAACCAAGGGAGACAGACTGTAAAATATTAAACATTAAGATAATGAATAATTAAACTAAAGATAATGAATTGAGTGCATGATATAATAGTCGCCGTCATACAATTCAAATTAAGCTTTTATAATCCATTTCCATCCAAATGACAAAGAATGTGAATTTCAAACTTGAAAAAATTAAAAAACTGATGCTGTAAGTGCTGCTACTTCATGAGTACCTGAAATCAACCAATAACATGAATCCTTTAAAAAAACAAGAAAGAAAAAAATTGTAAGATTTTTATCTTAGTACAAGATAAATTATAATATATATAATCAAAATTCCTCTGGTAGGAGAGTAGTAAGTTTGTGGACTTACAACGCTAAAATCCCTTCAGTCTATCACTGCAAAATTAGAGACAGTTAGCGCAGATAGCTTTGGTGTAGCTTTGCGCAAAATTTAAAACAAGACAAATATGTTGCCATGGCAACGACAACAGTGGAGAGCACAGCTGAATAATAGTCAATCACAAAATTAAATGAATCCTGGGAGACCAGGACATCCACAGGTGTAAGAGATACATGTTTTACAGGTAATATATACATGAGTACACATAAGCCTGTAAAAATGTTATTTGACCATCATACTAAAGGAAATTTTAGGAAAGAGAATCTTTAATCTACACTTTTGACCAAGTTTTCATGACTAGTCAGAGTTTGATTCACCTTAAATTTCAATCTTTACTCTATTTAATATCAAATTCTTAAGCCTTTTGGCTTTTTTTTTAACTAGCCAGTCGTAGGTTCAGTCTGTCAGTGTTGTAAATTAAAGCTTAAGGGTTACAGTAACTCATTGAGGGCAGATATAGTGTTAGCTTCCTGTTAATCATTATGGAAAAATTACTGAATATGTGGAGATACCAAAAGTGCCATGTGATGGCCTAACATTCACCTTATCAGAGCATATGAATGAAGATGAATTGCTCAACAATGCATTCAACGTGAGAGATATGGCTGAAGATGCCACTGGGCTAACTCTTAAGTTCCCAGTGTTGCCAACTATGCCCACATAAGTGTTGAAGGGTCTGGCAGAGATAAGGATGTTAACCAACCTTCCCATCACCCAATCTGGAAAAACGTTGTCCAATGTCAAACATAAAGTCTGAAAAACATTAGAGGATCGACTTGAGGGTTGTGCCATCTTGAAACCAAGAAACCACTTTCTGTAGTTTCACCTCCAAGTGAATCACCACATCTCCCAGCTAATAAGGACTTTCCTGGGGCTAAAGTTCTCGTGGAGGCCTTTCAAACTCTAGGAGAGTCAAATGATGCTGGCCATCATCAAGGAACCGCCATCAGTTATCAAATAACTTGCAGCAAAGATCACACCATCCAGCCAAATAACCAATGAAGGGGCTTCAACATCAGTATCTGAACTGTGACCTGGGATCCACATACAGATGAGATTCCTACTGTCAGCAAAAGTAGAGCTGCTCTCCACATCCCAACTGAGATTTAAAATATAAGATTTTTACATTGCAGCAATTCAAGGTATTAAAGCACCACTTCCAACAGATGGAGATCATGACACTTTACATTCAGCACTGTGTTGGAGGATCTACTATTGAGGATTCCATAGGTGAACTCCACTTTCTTTGTAACTGATGTAAATATGTATATTTCTTTCTTATTTTAATAAATTTATCTGATTAATTTTTGATTAATAAGCATTTACATTTATTTTCAATTATGAATGAGGTGTAAGTAACCAAATCCTTATTGAGTTTTCTTTTTTAGTAGTATAAAAAGGAATACACATCTGTCTATCTGTATATAAATAAAGAGATGTGTATTCCTTTTTTCTAATTCAAAGGGAAGATTTGTTTTTCTTTTGGTATTTTTGTAAAAGTTTTTACTGAAATATTTTAAAGAGGGTTTACTTTGCATTATAATTTATATTTCTTTTTTATATGGATTCTTTTTTCTTGGTACTTATCATCTTTTAGTATATTTTTTCTTGGTACTTGTCATCTTTTAGCATCTTTTTCCCCGTTATGTCCTTAATCCCAACTAGTTTGAGGTCTACCGGTATTTTGTTTTGTAAGATAATATTCTTTTTTACATGCGGGTAGCTGCCCCACCCAGCAAATATATTTGAAGAGCATATTTGGCTATGGGATTCGAACTCGCGACCCTCAGATTGCGAGTCGAGCGCCCTAACAACCAGGCCCATGACTTTTGTAAAATATTTATTTTGTATTTGAATTCAGTTTTTATAGTCAGTTCCTTCTAAAGGGGATGTCACTTATTGTGTTTTCGTCTTATGTTGTTATTATTGTTAAAGGTTTTTGTTTGATGCACTATATACTCATTGTTAAAGGGTTTTGCTTTCTTTTCTGATCTTTGTTAAAGGACTATATTTTTTGCATAATCTTTATTAAAGTGTTTTTAGTTCTGATATATTTTTTGTTTTCTGTCCCTTCCTAAAGAGGGTGACTTATTATTATTAATGGTGTTTGATAATGTTTTATCCTTAATGTCAAGCATTTTTTGGGGATGTGTTTTAATCTTGTTTAATAGTGTGTTATTATATCTAGATTTGACTTTATTTTTTCATTGTAGTAACTTGTAGTTAATGATGACGAGAAACCTACTTGCAGTAAAAATGAATAGCAGAGACCGCTGGTATGGGTATACCCATACCAGCCGTCTCTGCTATACATAGTAATTTGTAGTGTTTTTGTAAACTTGTTTTCCCTACAATGTTTATATATATTGTAAAGTATGTGTATTGGAGAGGTGAGGATGGATCATTGCAGTTCCTTGACCAACGCACGAATTGAATTTTAATTGTTTTTACATTTATGAAGTTATGGATGGCTGGGTCAGCCTAGAAACAAATGGGGAGAGAGGAAGTATGATATGGAAGCATATCATATGCTTTGTACCATCTTAATTAATTCATAGATATCTGAAAATCCGTGTGTGTGTGTGAAATATGTTTAGTTCCAGATATAGAAAACTGGCCAAGGGAAGAACTAATTTCTTGTAACTGTAGTTTCGTTCCACTAAGGCATCACATAAACTTTCTAGCAAGAAAGGTGGCTAAAATTTAGTATATGTTGTAGCAAAGTAGACAGTAGTCTTTTCTGCTGGCAAGTCAGATGATTCCTTACACTTAAACGAAAGTGAGTCCCAAACACATGGCTAATGCACATGGGACTAAGTTCTCTCAGTTGGTATGATAATTATTAGATGAGACAAGATTCAAATTAGGGAGAGATTCAGACAGGATTATCATTAGAGAAATTCAGAAAAGATATATAGGTATCACGCCACTTCATCTTTAAAACAAGAAAGAAAAAAAAGAAAAGACCACGGCCTGAAGGAAAATAATATTCATTTTTCTCTCTCTCTCTTTAGTGACGGGTACATTTACGCTTGGGTTAGATTGTATTTATTGACGTATACATCAGGGATTGTGAATGTGTACAAGTTTGCGTCAATCTCATTATTTTGTGTCAAACCCAGGCTAATACTTTGCAATACAGTATCTGGCGATTCTCCTGTTATTCTGTGGCCCCTGTTCATTTTATTATGATGGTAATGAGTGAATCTGAAAATACCACAACTTCAATACAAGATAAGCAAAGTGCTGATTTTCTTTTCTTCATATGAAAAATTTTCAAACCCAATTACACGATAAGTTAAGAGGAAGCATCCAATGATTGAGTTTTTCCTTAGAGTTAACTACCCATCCCCCGTGGCTCAGCGGTAAGCTTGAGGGTTTATAGCGCTAAAAATCAGTTTTTAATATCCGCGGTGAGCATAGCGCAGATCGTGTAGCTTCATTGTGTTTGAAACAACATACATTGAAATGTTTCTTGAACTACTTTTAACCCAGTTTATTATAATAGTGATGTATCCAAGTTACCAAAATCACTAAAAGCTCAATAAGTTAGTCGATATTTGGTGATCAGCTGTGTTTAAGAGAACAGATGATAAATAATGAACAAAATTCAAGTTTTTAAAAAATAATAATGTAGATGATATACTTAATTATTACAAATGAACACGATCGTATTTAGCAATAAATAACACGTTAAAGCAGAACTTAAATTGCATTGTGTGGTTTTAACTTTAAACTAAAAACAAAATAAAAATATTCGTTTAAGGCAAATCTACAAAGGTATTTTGCTTTCGCAAGCAACCGATTGGCAACACTCACCACCAACTTTTGGGCTACTCCATAGCAACGAATAGTGAGATTTACTGTCATATTATCACGCCCTCGTGGCTGAGAGGACGTGGGTGTTCGGGTTCTGGTTTCGATCCCGCAACCAACAGATTGTAAGACAAGCGACTTAACTATCAGACCATACAGACCCTGTTTAAAGTCAACAAAAAATTATAACTGAAGCTGGTATTCTTCTAACTCAACTTATTAAGAAAGCCTACAAGGACAACACTTATTTTTGAACAAAACACAATTAGTAAACAAAGCAGTAAACATTTATGACTTTGTTTAGCCAATCCGGATCGTATTTATGATAATATCATATATGCTTTACGTTGCTTTATGGCAGTACCGACAAGCTTGGAGTTCTCCCAAACATGTAAGTTTCATCGCTCATCACTACGAGATTAATTCATAATGGACTGTAGCTGAACCAGGGTCAAATTCTTAAACAATGATAAGCTCTTTTAGCCACACAGCGTAAACTAACGATTTCTTTCTCCTTGATCACAATCATAATCAGTACCAAAAGTTTTCAGAAAATCCAGTTTATTTACGGTGTGAATAAAAGTCTTATATTCATACCTTATCAGTCGATTTAAATTATGTACAATATTTCTGTGTGCATTCCTTATCAGGCAAAGCAAATATTTTCAACATTTTTGTTTGAGCTAACTTTAGAAAATATGTAGGTTACCCACCATGAAACTAACGTCAATTTTGCTAAAAACAGCAGTTCAATTCTTTAAGTTTTAATGGCAATGTTACTCATAACTAAAGCAAGGTGGAGTTAAATATAGAAACGAATAATCTGTTACATTCCTGGATACCACTCAAGTAATGTAAGAACAGTTTACGGTAACACTTCTTGAAGTGTGTAAATAAAAACCGTTTGAGTAGTATCAATAATAATGAGTGCGAACTTAGTTCTCCATTTGTAATTTTATCCCCTGTTATTAGTAATTTGGGCTTGATCTTTACCTGAACATTTTTGCAAAAAAAAAAGAAAGAAAAAGTAAAAAACTCGGTATTTTATGTTTCTCGTACTTACGTGCGTGTAGCATAGTTCACCAAACAAAATATATGCCTGAAATAGCACAGTAATAGAGGGCGCTAAGCTACAACGATACAACGTGAATTAAGGTTGAGTGATTTTAATATTAAGTTAAGGCATGTAGAATACATATTGACGATTTTATTTTTAAAGAAGCACTGGCGTATTCTAGAAATATAATGTTTTATACGGAGTATTATAAAATGAAGAAGATTATTATTCGCTTAGAAAACAGATAGGAATATGTCTTGCATAGTTAGCCGACTCGACATAATTATTTGAATTAGTGGATGAATTACAAGCTAGTAGTAGTACAGGCATCCCTCGTTTCGCGCGCTTTATTAGTGGTTTTCAAATTAGGGAACATTTTCGAATAACGCGGCCAGTCGCGATAGCAATTTTCAATCTTTGATAGGTTGTTTAGGCAAAGTATTCATAATGAATCTAAGTTTCAAATGGACAGCAACTGCTGTTGATAGAAACCTACAAATGTAGAGGACGACGTTTCGAAATACTTTCGAAATGTCGTCCTCTAGATTTCTACAAA